AAAAAAAAAAAAAAAGTGTCTGGACACAACTGCCATTTCACAAATAGTACTTAAGTCAGATGAAATGTATTCTTATCGCAAGCTTTAGACAGATTAATATATGCCACAACACCTAGTACTGATTACATTTAGAAAAATATTATCTTGGGGAATTTTTTTTTAAATCTTTAAAGTAATGTAACAGAAGATGTATGGTGGAAGATGCCAAAAACCACCCTACTTTTTAATCCAGAAGAACTGAGCTGTCAAAGCTATTATGCTGTTGACAGTTACTCATTTGATTATTTATAGATTTTTTTTAAAACAATGAAGAGGCAGGAAATGTTTATTTTATTTTATTTTTTAATTCTGTGACCAAGAATGAATGAACACTATAGAAATTTAAATCAACCCAATTACACAGTTCCCATTTACTTAATGGCTGCCAAACAAGCATGTGCTCCTGTGACCCACCATGAGCAACGTTATTTGATGGGCTAGATAGATTTTAAGGTTAGACACAGTACATGTAAAAATATAAAGTTTAAAAACCAATCTCAACACAGACATTTCCATTGCCATCTCCTTTGTGAAATAAATAAGGCAGCAGGTAACTTTTACTTTGAAGTGGCATCTTTGAGGTATGCTATTAAGTCTGCTCTCTCAGACTTCTTCTTAATACCCGCAAAAATCATCTTTGTTCCTGGGATATACTTCTTTGGGTTTTCCAAATACTCCATCAGAGTATCCTCACCCCAGGTGATGCCTAGACAGAAAAAAAAAAAAGATTTTTAGTGACTTCAAAATAACAAACATTTAAATTCTTGGCCTCCATATTATTTTACTTTTTGACAGATTTCAGTACTTCTAGAACTATCATCAAGAACTGAATATTGTTGTCCCTAGTAACTCAGAAGAGCAGCTTTAAGTTTACCTTTATTCTTATTAGCATCCGTGTAAGAGAAGCCCTCAGCTTGTCCAGTCTTGCGTCCAAACAGGCCATTCAGGTTGGGTCCAGTCTTGTGCTTGCCTCCCTTTTCAACTGTATGGCACTGGGAACATTTCTGGACAAAGATCTTCTTGCCCTTCTCAATATCTCCCATTTTCAGTACTAGACCAAGAACACACACAGAGGTCAGTATCACAATTTCAAGGTCACCTACTCAACAGAAACTTTAAAAGCGTCCTGTTGGCTTACAAAATTGCACATATGGCCCATCAGTCTACTAATTCTCCAGCACACAAGCTGTAGGTCCTGGGTTTGAAGATTAGCCTAGAATCATTAGACTACGTAAAAGATATGAAGGTGATAAACATGCTTGAAGAGCAGGAAAAAAAACTTCGCCCAGCCAAAGTAATTGCCCCACAGTGTCTGAACAGTACGGAGACAATTTTTGAAGAGTAAATGGAACACGATTTCTATATATAGCTCGTATATCTGAATAGGAAAGCTTTCCAGTCCTGAATAATGTCGTGTAAAGGGACAGAGCCGTCTGCACGTTTCTCCTTTCCAGCGGGAAGCACAGAGCAGCCCAGCACCTCGGACGGAGCCCGGGGCGGCAGGCACGGAGCTGGCCCGCTCCCCTCTTGCCACAAGCCGGGACGCCTCCCGGGCCCCCGCC